TATATATATATATATATTATGGTTTCATTTTACTTTCTAATAAATAATAAGAAATCATGAAATTGATCAGAATGATATATGCCAATATTATTTTATTTTAGATTTATATTTAAGAAGGGAGCCCACTCAATTTTTGGCATCAAAAATATTTAAAAATCCTGGCATAGAATGAAAGGAAAGTGAGCTCTGTGTGTGTGTGTGTGTGTACCTGGTCGATGGCGTGGACGTAATGGAGCGGCGACCCAGGTTGATGTTGTAATATCCTGGACTGTCAAGGTCGGCCAGAGAGAAGTTGGGTCCGCTTGCTGTGGCAACTGGTGCTGAATTAGATACAGACAGAGAGAAGTCTGATTAATCAATGCCATCATTCATCTTTGTTCTCATGACAACATAGTAAAACTTTTCTTCATGTCAGATTTAAGAATAATAGAAATCACAGAAGGTTACACAAGCTTATAAAAGTCAGACACAAACTCTATCATGGTTTCCACAACAATATGAAGCAGCAAAACTGTTTTCAACATTGATAATAATAAGAAATGTATCTTGAGCAGCAAATCAGCATATTATAATGATTTCTGAAGGATCCTGTGACGCTGAAGACTGGAGTAATAATGCTGAAAAAACAGCAAAAATCACAGGAATAACCTGTGACACTGAAGACTGGAGTAATGATGCTGAAAATACAGCAATATTAATATATTGTCTTATTTGCAGGTTTTTTGGGGGGCTTTTTATTTGTAACTGTTTGGATGATTTTAAGGATTTATAATAATAAGAAAAGCCTTTTTCGTTTCAATACAATGTTGATATTTACGGCTGCTGATCAGAAAGACGCTGCTCATGTGACTTACTCTGTGACACACGGACCAACTCCGCCACGTTCCATACGCCTGACGTCACGAAGCAGTCCTGGAAACTCAAGTGCCCTGGAGAGAAAGAGAGAGAGGCCAGAAATGAAAACACTACACCGACAAATTATACTGAAAAAAAAAAAAAATCCCCATATTTACTCATCTGCACCTGTCAAACACACGCACACACAAAATAAACTGGGCTCAATTGTCATAAAAAGGCATATAATTACAGTCATCGGTTGGCATATGTTCTCCGTCTCGTAGGAATAACAGGCTACCCCGTACTTATGGTTAACTCCAACCCAGCACTCCAATCTCAGCTAAAACTTAACGAGGACACTAAAAATGCTTTATGTCACACTTAAGTATGTGTGTGCGACACTGCATGCAAATATACAAACGTATTTGCTTTCGCTGTGCATATGGGCTTTCAATATGTACTTTTGTGTGTGTGGGCAAAACGGGTGAATGAGCCATGCTTCCACACCCATCTGTAGTGCTGGCTGAGGTCAGCGTGTGTGTGTGTGTGCCGGTTAACCGCAGCGAGGCCCGCGCATGAGCTCAGTGTCGCCCGTGCCGCAGCCATGTGGTTCCCATCAGCCAATCACAGAGTGATTTATGAGCGTTCCGCCATTCTCCGTCACAGCCGGCCTAGCAACACTTCACTATAATAAGCTTGGATGGAAATCGCTTTCGCTCACACTCCATATTTGTGCGAGAGTCGGGTGTGCATGTGACCTTATTAACGTAAATAAAGCAGCTTACGGTATCAATCGGCTCGTATTTGTGCGTATGGAGGTCCAAGGAGAGCGCGGCTCACCCACAGATCCATCTGCTGACTGGCAGGCGGAGTGGAAAATGGTGGCTGACGCGTTGATTGTGTAGCGTTGGGATTTCATCACGCCGTTTCCACCATTGCTAACCAGAGTTTACTCGCTCGCGGCCTTTAATGACAACTTCAGATGTGATTCTATTGAGTTTAAGTGGACTGCTTCTTGAACAACCAAGGCTTCTCAATCGTTTTTGATGAATTTTAAGGCTTGGCAAAGAAAAAAACCTTGTAGAAGAACCATTTTGGGTGCCAGAAATTATGAATAATGACTTTGCAGCGCAGAAGAACCATTTATAGTTCTAGTAAGAACCGTTCAGTGAACAGTTCTTAAGATTTTTTCAGTTCTTCATGGAACCATAGAATCATGTTGTTCCAAACCTGCATGACTGCCTATCTAACAAAAATAGTTTAGCAGAAGGTTGACATTAAAGGCTGACACTTAAGTCTGGAGTTTAGAAAGATTTGAACACTCTTAAAATTAAAGGTTCTTTATGCACTATAGTTCCATAAAGAACCTTTTAATTTGAGAAAACGTCTTCTTTGGAGTGGAAAAAGATTCTTTAGATGGTTAAAATGTTCTTTAAAACACACAGTAAACTGTAAACTCAAAAACTTGAGGACTTTATGGGAAAAAAAAAGTTGGATTGTACTTTCAACAAACGTAATTTCAAGTTCTACAAACTCAAAACTATTGTATTTTTACTTATGGATCCGAGTTCATTAAATTAGTGAAACTTGTGTTTCAGTTTGTTTAGCAACCTGAAAGGTTACATAGAGATACTTCCAAAACGGAGTTTGTCTGACAAAATGGAAGTTGAATTTTTAGTGTGTTTTTTTTTTTTTTTAAGAATCTTTAACTGAACAGTTCTTTGGGGAACCAAGAACTCCTTTTTGGTTCCTCCAGACACCTTTATATTAAATTCAAATGTATTTGAGTAAATGAAGACTTTAATTTCTGGGTTGAATGGCATCAGGCTGTAAAATCCTTTTGGAACCTTTGAGTGTGTGTGCGCGATTTTTGTTATGCTTGACCCACCATTGGGCGGAGGCTTGATGTCTGCTTCTCCTTGTTGGTTGGAGTTATCCGATTGTCCAGATTCTGCAAAGCCGACAGAGAAAGAGAGAGAGAGAGAAAGAGAGGAGGGGAAAAAAAGAGAGCAGATTAAACATGGGACGGCTGGGTTCAGTCCAAAGGTGCCTGAATCAATTAGCAGATGTAGAACATTCTATATATTCTCTGCCAGCACATATTCAATGTAGCGCTGAGACGACACAGCTGGAAATGAGACATGCAAAATGTGCTCCGGTTCTGGATCATTTACATGATATTCAGACAAAATCTGGACCTTTATACATGAAATCTGATGTTCTGTCTTGTAGTTAGCGTGTATTTGACTTGTTATACATTATCGTTCAAAAGTCTGGCAATGGAAGGATTTTTTTATTTTTTATTATTATATATTTTTTGGTCACTTTTGATCAAATTAATGCATCCTTGCTGAATTAAAATATTAATAATAAAAAAGTGTAGGTTTGATAACAGATAACCATTAATATTGCTCATACTTTGAGTTGGTTAGTGAACAAATGTGTAGCCTTAAGTATTAAACACCAAAGACTTTAGTAACTCCTCAGATTACATGGATTTCAGAATCAAATTCTGCCTAGGTCGATAAACAAAGATTATACTCTATTATTTTTATATAACAATATCTATATATATATAGACATAAAACCACAAAACAGTCTTTCGGCCTTGAAACAAGATCTTTAGTCCGGCAATGTAGACCCCAGGTGTGTTAAAAAACACAACTGGACTTGGTCAGTCGGGTCCAATGAAAAACACAGCCGAAACAAACTACCCACACCACTGTCCATTTTAGGCTTGAAGGTGCGCTGCTAATCTAAAATCTATAAATCTGCAAAATATACATCCGAGAGCAGCCTGGTGAAACCCAACTCTGCTGTATAGCTCATAAGATGTAGACAAAGGCTGGTGTGCAGCCATCGAGTTGTTTGGACAATGTCTCCGTAGGCTTTTTATCTTAGAAAGTATAGCGATCTTGGAGTGAGACCAGACCCCTGCGGCTGTTTGAATTGGCCGAGACTCACTACCCCCTTTTTTCTATATGCACTGAGGTTTTGACTAACTATAGACCTTAAGAAGGATGTCACTTGGTTACTTTGGCCTTTCCGTGTTTTCTGCTGTGAGTATTGATGAATGTTTCACCTCTTTAGCCAATCATACTTAGTGTTTTTAGCATGTTTGCTAGTTGCTAGGAGGGTTCTGGATAGTCGCTTGCTAGCCCAAGTCAAAAGAGCCTACCCTTCTATGATATTCTGGTCTGTAGATTTGCCTCGAAATTTAGCAGTAGTGGTGTTTGGCCTTAGCATGCACCGCTAATTATGTGCAGCAGCAGAATGTGGTTTAAAAAACCAACAGTATACGTTTTGAAGGAAAAAATGAACACGACAGCCCCCTCTTTCCTTCTTTTCTCTCTCTCGCACCCCCTCGTTCGCTTGCTGCTGTTGTTGTATGGAATCCTGGCAGCCATCTTAGCGCTTGGCAGCCATCTTAGCATTGGCGGTACCAGAGCATTCCAGCTAGCTTACAAAAGCACCCACACACAGACACACTCCTCTCAGAGAGAAAACCTCTCCACCAACGCGCTATACGCTAAAAGCCTCGCAAATGAAGGTTATTTTCAGCTACTTGTGCTAAACGCTAATTGAGGGGGGAAAATATCGACTGCCGCCGCGTTTTGCTCGCAGATGCACACGTACTGATACTGTGAGCTGATATGCAAGTAAATTTGCTTTAATCGACTCAACTGGATGTAAAACACTATAATCAACTCATGCAATCTCATTCTAAGTGTTATATATTATATTCCTTACAAAAACTACTATAGTGGTACCATGATGGTAACACATTGTTTAATGATTTAAAGGGGCTTCGGTCCCGGTCTTTCACCTCAGTCCACCTAAAAATCTGATTAGCTCCTAAAAATCTGTATTATAAATAAATAAATAATAATAAAAAAAGAATAAAAATGAATAAACAGATAATAATACATAATACAAATAAATAAATATTTTTATTTGTATATTTGTAAAAAAAAACAAAACAAAAAAAAAACCTTTTTAATTCATTTTAAAATGTTATTTATTTTATTTAAATTTTTTTCCCAGTAAATTAACTAAATATGACTTTAATTAAAAAAAAAAGTTTTTAGTTTTAGTTACCTATAATAAACCTGGCATTACCACGGTACATTTTAGAAGTAACAAATACCTGCAATTCAATTAGATTAAAGGAGAATAGTTATTCTAAGACGAATTATGTGACAAGTAAACTTTTCAAATTGCAATCTGGCAGCCACATGCAGGCCACTATTGGTCAAATTGTATGGCATTCTAGACTGTAAATACAATTCTAATCAGAATCACTATTCCGTTTAGTTCATTTAAATACCCGGGTTACCGATGGATTCTGTGAATTCAAAATAGCTACAATCCGTATTGATTAGCGCCCACCGGTGGTGTGGAAGTATGAAGCGCAGCTTAAAGGGTTAGTTCACCCAAAAATTAAAATTCTGTCATTAATTACTCACCCTCATGTCACTTTATTCAACAATTCGTCTCCTCCGCATCACCCTGCAGCGCCATTTTGGCACAGCTGACACAGAACAGCATACGCTGTTTACGTCCAGCGGATACTCTCCAAAATAGCGCTACAGGGTGATGGGTTTCTGAACTGGATCAAAAGTATCTTAATTTGTGTTCCGAAGATGAACGAAGGTCTTACGGGTTTGAAACGGCATGAGGGTGAGTAATTAATGACAGAATTTTCATTTTTGGGTGAACTAACCCTTTAAGGAGACGTCTCGGATGACCTCCAATCCAATTACATGGCACATTAGTGAAGCTCACTATGCAAAACTGGACGCGAGTGAATGAGAGAGGCCGCGCTATTGGGCACAGACAAAGCGCAGATGAGCAGGGGGCCAGATCATCAAAACTCAAACACACAAAGGAGAGACTGTCCATTATTAGAGCACAGACTCCAGCCTATGGAGTCCAATCAACACTGTTATCAGCATGCAACCACCCACACACACACACACACACACACACACAGCTACTGCATCCAACTATGTTCATGCTAATCCTTATCTTCCCGGCACACACAGTCAAAGGACCCCTGAACACACCATGCCAAAGATACTGAGTGACACACACACACACACACAGGCAGTGTTTTTAACATGACAAAAGTGTCTTTACAATGGTAGACAACTTCTTGAGTAAGTTTCAAATGAAAAACCATTGTTTGACATGGTATTTAAAACTATTACCATCCCTAAACAGCAAGTGTTGATCATTCACACACCCATTTCTTAAAAGGAGCCATCTAATGACTCCTTCAGCATGCAAATATTCATAAGCAACTGCGCTTGTGAGAGCAAAGACACATTTGCTATTATAATCATGATTTGCTTTGAATTGTTAAACTTAATAGGCTTGACCTATAGGATCTCTGAAAGGTTTTCACTTAGGCATTCTTCACTTTATTGCTCATACTTTGTGTTAGTGAACTGAACAAACTCCAAATCCTGAACACTCAACTCTGGCACAAACTTGTCCTGCACCATTTGTGATGTGACTTGTCTTTTACTAAGCGATGAGACTCAATAACCACATAAAACTCCTAATAGAAACACACTAAAGATCTTCCTGGCATCACAATTAATGCTTCACAACTAAACATATCAGTTTAGTGAGTATTACTTTGTTTCTAGCAAATATAATTATAATGTATATAATTTGTTGCTTTTTGAGAGTGTTGGGGTTCATTTTAACCCCTACCAAAAACTTTATAACAATCTACAACATAACAAAAACAACATGACATCAACCAAAAAGCAATGTTAAATAAACTTATGAACTTTTTTTTTATTCCGGAATAACAAATAACTGATACACTAACATTCAAAAGTATGATTTTTTTTTTTTAAATATATAAACATTAAAGAAATTAATACTTTTATTCAGCAAGGATACATTAAATTGACCGAAATCATCAGTAAAGATTTCTTATAATATCTTTTTTACTTTCTATTCATCAAAGAATCCTGAAAAAAATCTAATGGTGTCCATGAACACATTAAGCAACACATTGATAATTAGAAATGTTTCTTGAGCAAAAAAGCATATTAGACTGATTTCTGAAGGATCATGTGACACTGAAGACCGGAGTAATGATGCTGAAAATTCAATTAGTTTAAAAACAAATTTAAACAGAAAACTGTTATTTTAAATAATAATCATATTTCACAATATTACTCTGTTTACTGTATTTGTAATGAAATAAATGCATCCTTGGTGAGCAGAAGAGGCTTCTTTCAACTTCAATCTTTCCTGACGTCTTTTTGAACTTCTTTACCGATCCCAAACTTTTGAAAGTTTGTGCATGTGCAAAGTAAAACAAGAAACTAAAAAGGGTCGATTTTGAATTATATTAACTTCAAATGAAATCGACCCAAATGTATCCTTGCCCTAAAGAGAAAACATTACTTCTATGTGTGTGTGTGTTTTAGTTGGAGAGGCATGTTAGATCCCCTGGATTCAAACGTCATGGCTTATGATGACAAATACATGGAAAATGTATACTGCATGAAAATGTGCAATGCATTTCCCTGAAAAAACAAAACAAAACAAAAACCCAATGCATGCCTCCACACCTTAGGTACACACTCGCACACACACTACGGTGCAGAATGAAGAGGCAGCACAGCTTTTCCAATTGGGTTTTGCTTAAGAGGTTTATCGGTATGTTGCTAAACATTCTGACCTTTTTTTTTTAATCCGTAATGCGCTTAAAATGTTCCAAACCCTTCTAATCCCCACGGCGATCCCACACAGATGTTCTCTGAGCTCTTTTATTGGACTTTATTTGAGTATTTGCCCCCCTCCACCAGCACTTATTTATTCATTTCCTATCTTATGAAAGCACACTCCATCCTGTGCCCGCACCCCCTCAGCCCTGCGTTTCCCAGCAGCCCCTGCAGCGAGTGAAATCAGACAGCTTGCGCTTTT